GAGACAAGGGTATGGGAAAGAGAGAAGGAATAAGTTACCTTTGCCATCTGGCTTTTGAGATGAGAAAATGTGTCAGTCCAAAGCTCGGCAAAACTGCAACGTAAATAGGATTGGGTTGCCTTTTTTACTCCTCTATGACTTATTTTTCTATATTTTTCTCCTATCTTTTGGCTTTCCACCGCTTTCCTTGACCTCCAAAACATTTGAAGGTACTCATGTTGTAATACATCTCCACCTGCTTCCTTCATATCACTCAGTCCTGTTGTTTTCTGCTTATCCTTCGCTTTCCTGACAAGTAAAACTCCCAACTTTGTTTGTTTCAGGTATGCATAAGAAGTGAAAGCAGCACTAAAATACTATTAGCGGGGCGCCTGGGTGGCGCAGTCGGTTAAGCGTCCGACTTCAGCCAGGTCACGATCTCACGGTCCGTGAGTTTGAGCCCCGCATCAGGCTCTGGGCTGATGGATCAGAGCCTGGAGCCTGTTTCCGATTCTGTGTCTCCCTCTCTCTCTGCCCCTCCCCTGTTCATGCTCTGTCTCTCTCTGTCCCAAAAATAAATAAAAACGTTGAAAAAAAAATTAAAAAAAAAAAATAAAAAATAAAATAAATAAAATACTATTAGCTTTTCCCACTTAAGCCTAGTATTCTTTGCCTGATAATCTCAGCTAAGATAGTTTTGATAGGAAGCCCTTTCCCAGCATTAACTCTGCCTATAGGAGGGAAAATAAGTCTGTAGCTGCTGGACACAGCTTAACAAACCTTCCCAACATTTTTTTCTTGTCTAAATCCTGGGGCCAAAAATGTCATATCAACTCAGTGAACAATGGCAACTTCCACTCTAGAGAAGGAAAGGACCCACGAGCAATGGTTGAGATCTGTTAACTGAGAGACTTCCATTTCCAGAGTGTGAAATTTGTAGGTGTTTAGTTTAATCTTCGCAGAAGATCCAAAGATTATTTTATGAATGGCTAAGTATTAAATAAATAAACTAAGAGAATCAAGAAGAGATTCTGGGGAAATGATTTGTGGGTAAACTGAAATGAGAAAACAGAGGTCTCATTCAGTCTAAAAACTACTTTTCTATCCACTGAAATGATCATTAGGATTACCATTATCACTGCCTCTGAGAAAGACACAAGGAAAAACAGGATGGGAGAAAAGACAAAGAGAAACAGTAACTATGAAAGGCAAAGAGAATGAAACGATTTTGAACACTTACTACCCCATGCCTTTGTTTACTGCCTGCAATACCTTTTCCACTTCTTTGTCTGATTAACTCCTGCTGACCTTTTAAGACACAGTGGGTATTGCCACCCTGGGAGCTCAACATCAGCTCCCATCCCTCCCTCAAAGACTGGGCTACATGTTATTCTGCTATAAAACACAGGTGTAATATTCTGTCTTATAGTACTTACTACATTCCTTTGAAACGGATCAGAAAATAGAAACACTGGTGCCATATTTTGTGTTCTCCAAATTTTACATTGACCCGACCAACTGTTCATTAAATTTTGGTTTGCTGAAAGAAAAGTACCACTATTTTAAGAAAATATAACTATTTAAGACTGAATAAATAAAAAAAAAATAGCATATGAAATACCTTGGAATCATTAAAAAGAATAAGGCAACATCCTATGTGATGATATAGAAAGATCATCATAATATGTTAAGTGAAAAAATAAGGTAATAAACTGTTTATCTTTTGGTTCCCTAAAACATAAGAATATAGAGTGTGCACATATATGTATACATTTTCTTTCCTGGAAAAACACACAAGAAACCAAAAATATGGGTGGGGAAACTTTTATTTTCATTTTAAAAATCTTTCTATATTATTGGAACTTCGTATTCTAAATTCTAAATGATTTTTTACAAACGAAGTTACTAACAGGGACTATCTTGTTCCTAGGATTAAGGGCTATTTTTTTTTTTTAAATCCCTTGAGGGTGAAGATGATATCTCTTACATTTTAATATCATCACTGCTTAGCACAGTATGGAACATAGGGGGCATCTGATGAATGTTGAACTACACTGAACTGTGCCTGTCATCTATTTGAGTCTTTTACTTCTTTCCCAAAGTACTTGTATGAGCCCCTCCCTCATCTCTCTTTATTGTACATGAAGTGCCAAGTACCATGCCTTGAAGACAGTAGCTGGCCAAGAAACATTTATTCAATCATATTATCTCCTACTAGTATGAAATACAGCCACAACTAAACTACAAATTTTGATTCAATTGTGGGTTAGTAAATAAACATCCCAAAGTGACAGAACCAGCTAAGGCGATCACTCCAGAGGGAGAATCAGGTGTGGAAAAATGGGTGTGACAGAGAATACAAAACAAAGCTGAAAAAGAGGATCTCGACAGTGGTGGGAAGTACTGAGATCAGGTCTGAGACCTGATTATACACAGCAATGGCTGCAAAGGTCCAGCAGGACCACAGACAGCAGTCCTAAGATGGCAGGCACTGCCTCAAGAGGAGAGAGGGGTCCTTAGGAAGGGGAAGGCATCTCTGAGGGCATGATGACCATAAAATGAAAGAAGCAAGAAGGCAGCTGAAATGAAGGACCTTTTTTTTTTTTTTTTTTTTTTTTTTTTTTTTTTACATTTATTTTTGAGAGACATAGTGAGACAAAGTGGGAGTGGGGAAAGGTCAGAGAGAGAAGAAGGCACAGGATCGGAAGCAGGCAGCAGCTCTGAGCTGTCAGCACAGAGCCTGACACGGGGCTTGAACTCACAAGCTGTGAGATCATGACCTGAGCTGAAGTCAGACGCTCAACCGACTGAGCCACCCAGGCGCCCCTAAAATGAAAGATCTTATGTTGCAGGACAGCATCTCTGAATTAAAGGACACATCGAGCATCCACACCTTCCCGCAAAAGGAGCTGATTATTAAAGAAACTCCATTTCACTGTACCCTCAGAAGAGGAAGCTCTTGAACTAAGAATCAAACCTCCCCCCTACATAGAACCTTACACTATTGCTGATGCAGGAAAACATTACTCATTTAATATTTTAAAAGCTGTTAAGACTCTGATTGTATTAAAGGTAACATTCTTCATTTCTTCTAGGGAAGATGAATAAAAAGACTGTAAAATAATGTAAATATATGGGTATATAGTTTGGTATAAACACTTTTCTAGTTTTAGGTTCACTTCCCTCCCAATTTTTATGTTGAAAATTTTTGTACTCAGAGAAAAGTTGGAAATAATGGCATAACAAATATATATATATGCTCCATCTAAATCAAACTGTTAACTTTTTGCCAATTTGCTTTCTCTCACTCTGTATATGTCTACGTATTTACAACCTTACTTGTGTGCACCTTTCCCAAAAGAGAGTTTTGAAAACACATAAAAGAATTCAAATTCTATTAACTTTTATTTCATAAAAATTTTTGTCAGTTTTAAGGATGACCTCTATGTCACCCAAATTTCAGTAGAATTATACAATCATAATTTTTTTACCTCTTGAACATGACTAAATGAAAACAATCAAAACTTCATATTTACCTGGGTTTTAAAACTGAGAAAAGCATAAATCCCATCCATATGCACACATATTCTTGACCTAAAAATTCTTAGCAAGTGGGTGCTAGATGTTGATAAAGACTTCATTATACTAATAGAAAAGAGAGCTGCTAATGTTAATAGACTGAATAACCACCTAATCTGAACCAGAGGTTTTGAAACCATACCTTATGGAGAGATATAATGTATCAAGTGGATGAAACAGTGAATGAAAATTCCTGAAACAGGAATTTCAGGAGCTGCTCTGGAAAGGCCAGGGGATACAAGTCCTCCCACAATACTCTACCTTGTTCCTCAGGTACCTTCTCAGTCCAGACAGCAGTCTGAATATTGTTTTGATGCAATTGCACAGTTATGCAGACTTTTATTTTATTTTTGTTTACCTTTAATCATTTTTATTTTATTTTTTGATTTATTTATTTTTATATTAAATATATTGTCAAATTGGCTTCCATACAACACCTAGTGCTCATCACAAAAGGTGCCCTCCTCAATACTCATCACCCCCTTTCCCCTGCCTCCCACCCCCCATCAACCCTCAGTTTGTTCTCAGTACTTAAGAGTCTCTTATGGTTTGCCTCCCTCCCTCTCTGTAACTTTTTCCCCCTTTTTCCCTCCCCCCGGTCTCTCAGGATCCATATATGAGTGAAAAGATATGGTATCTGTCTTTCTCTGCCTGACTCATTTCACTTAGCATAATACCCTCCAGGTTCCATCCACGTTGCTGCAAAAGGCCACATTTCATTCTTTCTCAGTGCCAAGTAGTATTTCATTGTATATATAAACCACATCTTCTTTCTCCATTCGGCAGTTGATGGACATTTAGGCTCTTTCCATAATTTGGCTATTGTTGAAAGTGCTGCTATAAACATTGGGGTACATGTGCCCCTGTACATCAGCACTCCTGTATCCCTTGGGTAAATTTCTAGCAGTGCTACTGCTGGGTCATAGGGTAGTTCTATTTTTAATTTTTGGAGGAACTTCCACACTGTTTCCCAGAGCAGCAGTTATGCAGATTTTTAAAACCAGAGTATGTTGACTCTTCAAAATACAGTAAAGAACTTTCTTCAAAAAATTATCAATATTCTTTACAAAACAGAGGCTTTGGAAATGAAAGCAAACTTTGCCACAGTACATTCACCTCAAAATAACTCAGCTTTACTATTTAAGCAAATCTATATATTACAAGTATTTTTAAACAGAAGTTCTGTAAAATTTACCACATAAAATTTTTAAATATTTACAGTTTTTAGCACTCATTAAGACCATTTTATGAACCAAAAAAAAAATCCTATAATATTACATGAGGTGTTGGACATCAAATTTCTTTTGTGGTAACATTAAAATTGCAAGGAAATCAGATATGCTCAAATGTTAATTCAAATGTTACTGTCAACAATAAAAAGAGATACAAAGTAGCCATTATGCTCAAATAAAGAGAACTATGAGACATGGAAAACTTTGTACCTTTGTGCAGGTTTTCAAATTCTTCAGATAAGAGGTGATAGCAACAACCCACACTGCAAACTCCCTTGATTTCAGGCTGGGAAGTAAATATTCGCAGGGTATTTGGAGCAAGATCACCGCAAGTATGGAGGCCTACCATCAAACAATCCTTTAACAATGAGAAGAAAAAATAAATTTTGGCATTAAGAGGAGGGCTAAAAAAACATTTCAGGTGAAGATTTTAAATGTTCGTTAGACTATATGGAGCTTTTAAAAATGATCAAATTCTACCTAGAAAGTATTCTATGTTTTTTTTTTCATTATGAATAATTATTTCCTTTATAGGCAAAGTGTGTAAGATCTTTCATCACAACTAACATACTTTTGAGTTGACTTTCTAGTGGTTTTGATTACTTATCTGTTTGAATTTTCTCTGATCTCTTTTACAACTACTGTTTGCTTAACTATTAGCCAAATTAAAGGCTGACCAGTCAAATGTAGCATCCATTACTAGGACAAACTTGTGATTTGAGACACATTTACACCTTTTAGTCAGTTTTTTTATTCACTTCTGTACAAACTGCCTATCAAAACTTTCAAAACGTTGTCATTAAGTGTGTTAAGTTGGCAATTCTACTCCAACACCAAAAAAGTATATTCATTGCATAAAATGTGGCAATATTAAACTCAATAGAATATTTTTGTTTTAAATTAATGTTATAACATGAATTTTATGTAACAGTTCTCCTATGAAATGTTTCTTCTAATTGCCCAAAGCCTAATTTAAACGTACACACATACAGAATGGGAACAGACACATATATTCACAGAGCTTAATCATTATACCAAGTTTGTTCTAACTTCCTCATCTGTAAAATGAGTATAATAATAGTCTCTACCTCAGTGGATAAAACGTAAATAAGTTCATACTGGTAAAATGACATAGTACAATCTCTAGCACACAATAAAATTCAGTAAGTGCTTTCTATTCTTATCATCATCATGATATATGTGTAAGACAGGTATAAATCTCTCTCTTTAAAAACATTTTTTTTAATGTTTATTCATTTTTGAGAGAGAGAAATACAGCGTGAGTGAAACAGAGAGAGAGGGAGACACAGAATCTGAAGCAGACTCTGGGCTCTGAGCTGTCAGCACAGAGCCCTACGTGGGGCTCAAACTCACAAACGGTGAGATCATGACATTAGCCGAAGTCTGACACTTAACTGACTAAGCCATCCGGGCGCCCCTAAATCTCTCTCTTTAAACTTAGCTTAGTTCTGCCTAAAGATAATACAAGAACATTTAACTTCATTCTTTACTATAGTCATCATATGATATTAGTTAATAATATTATCAAGTGGCAGACAAAAATATGCAATCACTATTTTATCCTAATGATAAAATATTTAAATATTATATATGTTGTTATAAAGAGGAGAGGGGAGGTATTAATTAATTTGGGTTATTATGTTAATTCACTGTAGGACTCAAGAAATATTCTCCCAGTACATCTTATATTAGACAGATTCTTATAATAGTTTGCATATAGCTTTGATCATACACTTTCAACAAGATTTTGAAAAATATAAACATATGATAATAAGCACTAAAATTTATGTATTTTGAAGTTAGTTAAAGTAATTGGGGTTGTTTATCCCTAAGAGAAAGTTAAGGTATAACTTAATTACTGATTTCATATGTAGGTAAAACAATTAATGAGAACTAACCAGTTTCCCTTATCTAGTGAAATACAAATGTTCAGAAAAAAAAATTCCTTATTCTAAAAGGACAAAACACTGGTTGACTACCAAACAAGGATTAAATAAAAATACTAGTCAGTTACCAAACAGGAATTGAAATTTACAAGAAACTCTACTATCTTTTGTTTATTCATTTCTTTAGGGAAGAATTTTTGAAAAATTTAGTAAGAATAGAGTATAACAACTTCAAAAGCTACATTGTTTTTTAAGATAATGAGGCCAAATGATTTCTAGAATCTCCTCTACTTAACATGCAATACTGCCTTTAATTAAGATATTTTGTCTCTCAATTACATGATCTGAATTACTTATAGTTTAGAAAAAGTTCAATTCATTTAAAAAATACTCAAGCTACTTTTGCTCAAGAAAATTGCATTACTTGGTTACCAAGGTAAATGTGAAACATAATATTGCCCTAGCTACCCTTTTACTGCAAATTTAAATTAAAATGTTAAGAGTTTTCTTGGACTGGAATTTTGAAAATCCCTACATTGCATAATAAAACTTATCTTGCTAGCTTTTGTGCTAGTACTTGTTTGATTTAGAAGGCTTGAAATGAGTGGAGGGCACTCTATTCTGGAAAACTGTTAATTGTCTGATTGTCAGATTTTATACTCTTGGCAGATTTTACAGCTATAGGAATCATGAAAAACTGCATATAATTTTATTTTCTTGGTCCTTTAGATTAATGTAATCAAATAAGATATGTAGGTTAAGTAAGCTACTATTAAAATTTAACTCTATGTCTTAAGAGTATTTTTGTAAATTAAATTAAGGAATGCAAAAGTGAAATCACCTCCAGGTCTTTAATAATATCATGCAGTTCTGAATCAGCAGTGATAAAAGATGTTAAAGGTGAGTATATATTTGATTCATTTGACTTTGATATCATTTTTCTTCTCTCTTTATTTGCTTCAGACATATTTCTCTTAGATGTTTGCAATGAAGTAGGTTCTACAGCATTAATAGGCAAAAGGTCTATAAGAGAAAAGGAATTTTCAAAACACAAATTTTCTTCTCGATGTGAATACACATGTAGGTTTTCCATTTGTGTTCTAATGTTACAAATTACAGAATCCGAAAAATCTGGCAAAAAATCCGAGGTAGACATCTTTCCTTGATTTGCAGGACTGTTGTTACATATTCCCTCAATATCTACTTTATATTTAATTTCATCTTGCACTTTCCTTTCTTTTGCCATTTTTAATGCCAGTCCATTGCCATCTAATTTTGACCGAGTATGATAGACTTTCCAATGTTTCTTCAATTTCCTGTTTCTCTCCTTAGCTCCATGAGTATTGGTATTTGAGGAATCAATTCCATAAACTTTTAAGCCATACTTCAAGGACAAAAAAGAGCTTAGGTAGCCTTTTCCGGAACCCAGGTCAATTACCTAAAGTAAGAAAAAAGAATGAATGAAAGGATTTTAGTCAGATAAGAATAGAAAACATTCTCAATATCTTTTTTTAAAAACAAATAAAGAAATGGTTGTATAATTTATACAACCTGTTATGTTTATTTTTTATTTTAATTCTTTGATTCCTATTAAAAACCAACCACTTTCGTCAATTTTATTCAACATTTTAAAAGAGGTTCTAGGTTGTATAATATGTCAAGGAAAAGATGTAAAAGACCTAATGGGAAATAAAACTGTCACTCTTCATAGAGGACATGATTGTCTACAGAAGGTCTACAGGAATATACAAAAAGCTAACAAAACTAGAAAGTGAATTTAGCAATGCATCTGGATACAGGATCATTAGAAATTAATAATGAACCATCAAAACATATATAATAGCAAAGAACAATTAGATAATAAAATTTAAAACAAATTGAATTAAAATAGCATAAAAATAGAATATCTAGGAATAAATTTAACAAAGGTTCTGAAATAGCTATTCACTGAAAACTATAAAAGCAGAGAAAAAAATTGAAAGATCTAAATAAAGATATATCATTCATGAAATGAATGTTCATGAAATGGCAGACTCAAAATGAAGATGTCAATTCCCCCAAAATGACTTACATATTCAACAAAAATCCTAATCAAAATCCCAGCAGATTTCTTAAAAAAAAAAGAAAATCACAAGTTGATATTACAGTTTATATGAAAAGGCAGAGTACCTAGTATAACCAAAACAATTTTGAAAAAAAAAATAAGGTTGGAAGATTACCCTGATTCAGGAAATAATATAGTATAGTAATCAAAAACTATAGTTTAATAAAACACTATAGTAATCAAAAACAGAAATAGACTCACACTTACATAATCAACTAATTTTTGACAAAATGGCTAAGGTAATTCAATAGAGAAGATAATGTTTTCAACAAATGGTGCTGGTATAATGGATGTACGTCTGGGGGGAAAATACCTGTCACACAGCAAACACAAAAATTAATTAAAAGTGGATCACAAATCAGGAGCACCTGGGTGGCTTAGTCGGTTAAGCATCCAACTTTAGCTCAGGTCATGATCTCATGGTCTGTGGGACCAAGCCCCTTGTTGGGCCTGCTGACAGCTTGGAGCCTGGAGCCAGCTTCGGATTCTGTGTCTCTCTCTGCCCCTCCCCAGCTCACGCTCTGTCTCTCTCAAAAATAAATAAACATTAAAAAAAAGTGGATCACAAATCTAAATGTGATAGTAAAAACTATTAAATTCTGGAAGAAAACATGAGAAAATCTTTGTGACACTTGGCAAAGTTTTCTTATGTAGGACATAAAAAGTATGAACTACAAAAGAACTAATTGAAAAAATGGACTTTATGAAAATAAAAATTTTGCTATTAAAAATGTGGTTAAGGGGCGCCTGGGTGGCGCAGTCGGTTAAGCATCCGACTTCAGCCAGGTCACGATCTTGCGGTCCGTGAGTTTGAGCCCCGCGTCAGGCTCTGGGCTGATGGCTCAGAGCCTGGAGCCTGTTTCCGATTCTGTGTCTCCCTCTCTCTCTGCCTCTCCCCCGTTCATGCTCTGTCTCTCTCTGTCCCAAAAATAAAAATAAATGTTGAAA